TTGAAAAACAAAAATTCAAATATTGCATTTACTGAGCATATGTACAATGTATTTTGAAAAACAAAAATTCAAATATTGCATTTACTGAGCATATGTACAATGTATTTTGAAAAACAAAAATTCAAATATTGCGTCTACTGAGCATATGTACAATGTATTTTGAAAAACAAAAATTCAAATATTGCATTGTATTATGGAAAGAAAAGCCCACTGAAATTTATCTTATAACTCATATCTTACTATAATAAATAGCAATTATTTTATATATCATGGAATAAAAATAACCTAACAGTTATTTGTTTGGTTAAATTTTTTTTTTTTTTTTTTATATCATATCTAGGCCAGTTCTTGAAAAAAGTGTCTGGTTCTTCCACAATGTTTTTATTTTATTGTTCGTATCATACTCACTTGGACCCGTATATTATTGACAGTAAAATAAATAAAAAATTTAAGTATTGCACCAAATTTAGTGGGGAATACTTATAGCCTTCATAGGCTTAATAAAATTATATTAAATTTTTAATTTTGATTGAACCTACTTAATAACGAACTCTAAATGTGTAGACATATTATAGTTGTAGTACGAAATTTCAAATATCCAAATTTGTGAAGTTATCTCAGCATTTAAAAAGTAAACCAATCATATCTAACACAATTGTTTGGTTGAATTGTAACAATGTAACAAAAAATTACTGAATATAATACATTATCTCAAAATACCTTAGCTCTCAAATTTGTTTAATTAAAAATTTATGTTTTTCATTGTGCAATGCATTTGGGAAGAGTTGACCCATGGTCATAATAATTACCCATACATTCTATGCAGGAAGCTCTGTAATTAGACTTAAATATTTATCAATAAAATAAAAAGTTAAAATCAATGGTTTTTTATAATGAAGACCATTACCGGTACTTTGTTGGGGGATTTTATGATGACGATTATATTGTGGTAGTTGACTCTTTGGAGGATAGTACATGATATGAAAATGGCAAAAATATATAATAATGTAATTATAATATTAATCAGTTTTCTATTTTCAGAATTATCTTTTGGTTGAAAAACATCAGTGTCTAGATTTATTTATTTTTTTTACTTATTCATTCATTTAATTTACGCTGAAACTTTCAAAGCAGTTTTATGTTTTAAAAAAAAAATTCACTACAAAATTAAAATAAGTCAATTGTGTTAAATGATTAACAGAGTAGCAACCACAGAATTGTATTCATTATATATTGTGGTACTATGACGATACAGGAGTCACTGTTTGCTGTTGGAGGGATACCATCCACAAACTATGCTATGCTTCACGGTGCCTTTATAAGGACACCAACCCATCTGATGTACTGTACATGGGTCTCTATAAATTTATATACTGTACATTTGTTAAAGTTTCCATTGAATGTACACTATAACACTATAATTTGTACAGGTGACATTGTCATTAATGTACGTAATTATATTTTATTGACTTGATTCTGCCATGTTCGTGTTATTGGTAACATAGAGGTAATCTTTTTCCCCTCGATGTTGATAAAAAAAGAACATCTCAACAGGTAAACCTTCAGTAGTTAGAAATGTTATTCTTTTTTAAGAAAAATACAAAAACATGAATGAGTTCAGATTTCCTCATGTGATAAAATCACACAGAAGCTAGGCATGTTAAGGCATAAATAAATCACATCTTGACATGCAAACTTACCTCAGCTCAAACAGTTAATCAAATCCTCATCAAATACTGCATAAAATCACCTAGTATAAATCCACACTCGCTGAAAATTCTGAAGGTGATTGCAGAATATCAGATGTAAGAATTACCTCCACGATCACAGTCTACTAATTTGTGCAAAGAAACAGCTTTGTATTCTTGACAACAGTCCATGATTGGCAGAGAGACTGATGGTGATGTCGATTGATATGCAAATTTACAATGTGGGTCATTGTTACCAACTTGATATCAATAAAGTACTGGTGAATTTTATTGGTTGGTACATGCCTGTGTAGTCAATCCTTCTTACCATGGCAAATTACATCTCTATGATTTTATAAATGCAAAATAAATATCAGTTGTTTTTTTTTGGGGGGGGGGGGGAGGTTTAAATGGAAATAATGCTAAACATGCTGTGATAGATATGCACAACTGCATCGGAAAATTCCCATACAGTGATTTTTAGGAGTAAAAAGTTGTTTATTGTCACCATGTTGAGTCCCGTGGGATAGGTGGATTCAATGACTGAAGTTTAATTTTAAACCATTGTTACTGTTCTTTTTCTATTCACCTCACTTGCAGGCATTTTCTTTTTTCAATGAAGTCGTTGATGAGATCACATTAAATAAAATAGCTACAAGCAATATATATAGTTACTGACTGGCAGCGGTGTTAATTATGTTCAACCTCTAAGATCAGGTCTTGTTGGTGGTACTGTGAAAAAAAAAAACCTCTGTGGTAGTGATGGCCTGCTGTCTTGTTCTGCTCTCTGATTTGATTAAAATAAAAACCATCAAATAAAACATACCAGTATGCTTCAATGCATTGCCAGCGGTACACCTGTATCAACACCCTACTAGGTGTTTACTTTTTAAATTTTGTTTTTTTTTGGATATCCACACTTGGTTATATTACTGTAGAATACTTTATTTTTGCTTGGAATTTATTTTCGCTGGAGGGATGATTCCGTGAAAATAAAATCTAGCGAATATACTTTTTTTCCTATATTACACATTAAACTCATCAAAAATCAGTGAAAATAAATTACATACAAAACGCCAAAAAGGTGGTGGTGGTCCTTGCGTTGTGTCCTGTCCAAGATGGGACTCATTGCTACATAGACAATACCACTTTAACCACAACAATAATATTAGACATTATGTAGATGGGCATTGTAGCCAAATAAATACACAATTTAAAATATCTAGTAAGTGAAATGAAGTGATTGATTGATTGAGTAAAGTGTGTGAATAAGGAAAAAAAAACAAGTAATCATGAGCTGAATGAGTACTAGATGAGTATGTGATCTCCAATATAAAATGACCTGAAAGTTTGTTTTTTTTCTATTGCTTTACCAAGTTACCAGTACTATTGCATGATTGTCACATCAGTGGGGAGACTTACATAATGTGCTAAAGAGTTTTGTGTTAAGGTCAGATCAGTGAAAGAGAGTTTGTAATGATAGGGTTTTCAATTTGTAATCTATTGTTAAATAAAGTAGATTTGACATCAAGTCTCCATTAACATCAGGTTTTATAATCTTAAACTGTACATGTAGTTGTATCATTCATATCATGGTTGCAAAAACTCTGGACACAAATGATGATTACCTAGCACTCGGGATGTTCTACCCTAGCAATGTGCTGAGAATAGCTCCTGAAACACCCCCCCCTTCTTCTGAAGCTCTGAAAGTGGATGCCTCTTCAGAGACATGATTTTTTTTGTCAACCAAAAATGTTGTTATAGCCTCCTATGTTTCCTCAAAATCTACTCCTGATTTCTTTAGGTTTCAAGAATCAATTCAGTGAAAACATTTTTTTTTTTTTTTTTGCAACTTTAAAGTATGTTCAAATTTCTTGTAAACAGACAATGTTATCTAGATGTATTGAGCATGTGCAAAGTGATGACTTGTATGAACCCACATGAACACTCTTCCTAATTATGTTTATTTATTTATGTATTTATTTATTTATTTATTTATTTACAGGTAGCTAGATATGAATTTCGCTCTCAATTTCTAAGTAGATCCTGTGGTTCTCCATTTAAGGGATGTATTTTATTAGGAATAACTATTATATTACTAGGAATATTCAGGGATTTCAGGTATGTTTGATGAATCTTTCTGTAACCCATCTTTGTCAAATATATTTCATCTGATCCATTTTATTTTTATAGCCGATACTATAAAATCCTTTTTTTTTTTGCTTGGAATTAATTTTCGCTGAAGGGATGATTCATTGAAAATAATTATCACTGGACGCATGGAGCTGGTGGGAACAGCCACTGATGGTGCTATAGTTTAGCTACTGTATTTTTAGCTCCCGTAAAACGGAGCTTATGTGGTACCGGTGTCTGTGACTCTGTGACTAAAATTTGTTTCACTGATAACTTAAGATCTACAATTTCAATTCAAATGAAATTTGACACACAGCTAATATATGATGAGTAGATGTGCTGATTAGATTTCGGTGCAATTCCATGCATGTTAATTAGTCAATTATTGCATTAATTAATTTATAACTTAGAGTCTTTAAAGTTTCTTAACAAATATTGGACTAGGGTGAGTAGCCTAATTTGCATATTGCAATAATGTATTCTGTCGCAAAAAAAAACTAGTAATATTTCATTGGAATGTCTGCAAATATGCAAATTTTAGTATATAATGATTTATTATATCATGATGGATGTTATTTGAGCAGATTCAGCGACTAAAAACATCAAATGTATGCGAGTATGGAGAGTACGCATGCGCAGTTACAAGAGTGACGCAGCCATTTTTTCAGTTTGACAAAAAAGCAGTACCCTTTCCGATTTTCATGAACGCAAGTTCAATTTCACTTTGTGCGTCATATTCATCAATAGACAAAATCAAAGACAGATGCCGTACAACTTTCTGCCAATCTTGATTCATAAATGTGCTGGTTACATGTACAGTGTTCTCCTCGGGCCTGCGTCGCTTAGACAATAGCCACGTAACTTTCGTTTCGCCCGCGATTCTGCAGTGTTCTCATCAGGTCTTTTAAGGGTATCGGGTCCGATACTGTTCTTTCTTTCCACGATACTTTTTCCCCAAAGCTGGGTCGTTTCCAGGCCATTGTTTTGCAATGATGAATCAGAACAGAACAATTCGTGTGAACTGATTGATCCTAACTTATTATCTGAATACTCGTATTCACCTGCGGGTCTGCGGATACTTCGGCCTACTTTCAAGCATGAATATAGAAGGAAATCAACGATTTTTTTTCAGTATCGTTCCAGACTTTGCAAGAAATTTATATAATAATCACAGTGATCACTACTATTGGGTTCAAAAATTATTTATGATCATTCAAAATATAGTGGCCATGTCTGTCGGTTCAACCCAGTACTGACCTTCACCACTATTGCGATGCCACGAGCAGAGAAAAGGAAAGCTGAATCCTT